TTCTCTCTCCCCCTCTCTCTTCTCTCCTCCATACCCGCCTGGCAGGATTATCTTCTGTCAGCGCGTGCACAGCTGTGGACATCTGTTTGAGTGAGGGGCCTTTTACATCTCCATCCGCACGTTGTTGATTCTCTGTCTGACACGGCTCACCTCATTACTGCCCCGGCCACACCTCCCCACGTCCAGCTCCGTGTCCAGCCCCGCGTCCAGCCCTGAGCCCAAATCCCAGGTCAGATTCTGGGGCAGAGCTCGGGGACAGGATCACATGAGAGAAAGAAGATACCACAGACCAGAGGAAGTTAGAGCTTTATTAATGAGGGTAAAGATGTCAGAAGGAAGCCTGCTGAAAAGCTGCTAACTGTACAGGACGTGTTTTAGGGTTTTATTTCATGTTTTGTAGGTTTATTTTAATGGCAGATACAAAAATCTTGACTCACTAGCACGGTGTTTCCCAAACTTTTACTTTGGGGACCCATATTTTAAAAATCACAAACCTTCATGACCCAAATCAATTGAGATTATTTGTAAATCACAAAATAAATGTGGGTTTGACCATTATTGAACATTAATGAGGATATTTTACTGTTGACTGAGTGATTGTGTCTCTCTGAACATTAGTATTACTCAAGTTTGAAACAATGAAAAACAGTAATTGAACCAGCTATAAAAGAATCCATAAGTCACCTATTTGGACATTAAAAGTAGCCCATTTATTTTTCTTTTCAACATTCATTTGAACCAGCAATATTAGAACAAAATAGTCTGTAGAACTGTATATTACAGATCTACATGCAGATCGTGACAATTAGACCCAAAAAAAAAATCTCTTGCAGCCCACCTGAAGGTCGCGACCCAGTTTTTGGGAAACACAGCACTAGTATTATCCACATTTTTCCATTACTGTATAAAAATATGAGTCTGGTCACCTGTGAATCTCCCTGAATGGGTTCTGTGCAAATACATTTATGTTACAAACCAGGAAGACGTTTGGAAACATGCGATGACAACTTCCGGTGTAGTTCCCGACAATGTGATAAAACCCATTGAAGTAAATGTGATCAGAGGTAAAATGAAGACTGCATACATATGTGCTGTTTGGAACCACCTTCAATTTGGCGCCTCATCTCTTCTAATCACATCCAGTGCACTCGGAGTTGTGTGTCAGTGGAGAAATTATGCAAACTGATTTATGGTTGTAATTGAAGATAAAGAAAGTGACATTTTCTCATTTTTTCTAGATTTTGTCAGACTTACTGCCGTGAACAGACACCACCGGACGTTGTCATTGCATGTTTCCAAACACCTTCCTAGTTTGTGACGTAAATGTATTCACATACAGGGAGATCCACACGTGACCACACTCACGTCTTTATACAGTAATGGAAAAGTGTGTAGAGCCCATTCAGGTAGATGTGATTGACAGGTGGTTTAGCCAATCAGGGACATGCGTGGTCTGTCTTTATCAAAGCAAATATGGCTGCTTATAAGGAAAAATAAAGGAAATAAATATCACAGGGGACTGAAAAACATGGCGTATTTCTGCAGAATCAGTGAGTGAAGTGCTAAACTATATTCTTCTGAGGAATTAGAGGAATTAGATTGTATTCAAAATGACGTATGATGAGTGTTTTATATTGGAAAAAAACAACAACACACACAAACTCACTGCAAATAAAGCAAATAAGATGAAAATAACTTACAGCATCCAAATGTATACATATAGGCATATTCAAATGTCTCAGTTGAAAATGTGCATCATATATTCAGTTCCATTTTTTAAAAAGTAATACACTTAATACACTCAGTAATACACTCAACTGACAAATTGGGGGAAAGGGGGAACAAATGGTCATGTAATCTTAATGTTGTTCAATATTATCATCATTGTTATTGTCGTGATTATGAAATTAGTGTTAATGACGAGTTATGTATGACCATTTAACATTTTCAAGTGAATAACGAACGAAGAATTTACGAAGAATATTTTTAAAGTTTGTGTCATGTGGTGCCCCCCCCTCCCCCCGGGCACCGTGCCACTGGCCCATACGGATAATCCGCCCTTGGATGGAGGCAGTGCGGGCTTGGCAGGAAATAGCATGTAGATTATAGTTTATAGGCTGAACTAATTTCCAACTCTTGTCAATTATCGTCCTCCCGAGAAAGTATAAATGGCATTCTGCGTTCGTCCATTAGTTTTACAGTTTTATGGGTTCAAGCCTACAAGCAAATGGTCTCGGAAATATGCAGTTTCTTCTCATAGCTGTAGAGAAATTGCTTTACACAAATGTCCAGATTCATTTTTAACACCTCCACAAGACACAATCAACATCAAGGAAGAAAATAAAGTGAAGCAGGTTAAGCAGTTTGTCTGTTGGTGCAAAGTTTTAACGACAATTTTAAGATTATTGTTATTTATTTATTTTGCTTGTGCAGGATTTTTTTAAAAAGTGTAAAACTGGAGAACATGTCTTGGAGAGCTTCTTTTGTGCCTATTCTCTTCTGACACACAGGGGAGGGCATCTGACACACAGGGATATAGGAGGATGAACGGGAAACTGACATTTTTCTCATGAAGTCACATGCATGGGCAGCTTCATGACATTTTCCCTTTATATGTAAAACCAACTTCCTTTTGTTGTTGTTTATCCTTTAACCATGCATTTCCTCATCGAAAACATCCATGTTTTGTTTTGACCATGCAAAGATTAGGTTCAGGTTTCCCTCTTAGATTTTAATGCAGTTTCGTGTGCACAGAACCTCAAATTCGACACTTGTTTTTGCATATGACTCTTTATGCAATGCTGTAAAATAAAAAGAAATGCGTAAAAAATGGACAAATATAATACTTTTTAACAATTATCACACAAACTTTTTTTTTTTCTTTTTTTAAACAGGAGCATTGGCCATAAAGTAGGATTTCCTAAATGTAATTATAACCTTCAGCAGTGTGCCTGATGACAGAAAGATGACTTACTTTGGCAAGATTCAATTTCAAAACATGTGTCTCAATTAGTCACTGCTGTTTCTTACTCTGTGCGACCACTTTAGAGACTTGCACGTAAAGAAATATTCTATTCTGTTTTGTAATCCATTTTGAATGATTAATTTTATAGCGTGAAATGAAAACTACTGTGTCAATAACTTCCCCACAGTTAACGTATTAAGAATGGACAAACAAATTTAAACTAGACAAAAGGGTCTGAAATGATTTAACAATTAACATTTTAACAATTGTATAATCTTTTATCTTTTATCTTATATCCTATATTTGTATAAAGTTAAAGGTTGTATGTTGTTATGTTGTAGCATATTGTCCAAAGATCTATATAACACTGAAATACCATAATTTATAGTTTGATAATTGCCATTGCTATATTAAAGATACATTATGTAATTTTTTGGAGGAGTGCTCACCAAAAAAACAAACAAACAAAGAAAACAAAAAAACAACAACAACAACACCAAAAAAAAAAAAAAATCAAACAAAACAAAAACACCACCACCACCAAAAAAAAAAATAAATAAATAAATAAATAAAAATAAAAAAATGTAATAAAATAAAATAAAATACAGGCAACTGGCAATAAAAACATACCAAAAAGAAAGTGCCAAAACATGTAAACTTGTAACCATGAAGCTGTCATTGCCTTCAGTGCTGCACAATAAGAAAAACATACCTATTTCAAGCAGCTAATACCACTGTATCAAGTTACAGGTCAGATCTGTGGAGTGGTGTCCCCCCTCTTAAGAATGCATGTTTTTCGAGATATTTAACAAAAATGAAAAACACTTGTAACTGAAATAAAACATGATTGTTTAAGGTTATTCTGTGACAAGCACCTCTCCAGAAACATTACACTGAGCCCCTTTAAGTTTGCAAAAACTAAATGATCTGAAAATACGAATTCCTTTCCTTTACTTATTTTTAAAAGCCAGAGCTGAGAATGTCTTTATAGTCTGAAGAATTCAAATTTGATATATTTAATTGTGTTTGACATTTTGATATTCATAGGCCTAATGTAAGTATTTGACATTATATTTTACAAATCAAACCAAAAAATAACAATCTAGTAGGGGTTGCTCTGGAAAGGGTCCTGTTCACATTTGGAGAGATTGGTTGCACGATTTTACATACAGTATATTCCTGTTGACTGCTTATGAATGAAATCAGTCTATGGTCTAAAGGCGTAAACAGATTTGGTGTACGCTGAGAATGGTAGTCTTTCACACACTTGTTATCTCGCAGACACATTTTGCAGTTATCAGGAGATTCAAGAACACTGTGTCATGACAAGCCTGGAATGTGTGTAGGCTACAGTGAAGGGTTAATCAAATTTAGTCTGAAATCCTCTGCAAATCCCAAGAATAACACACACTCAGGAGGAAAAATAAATCAGCCATTGTTTATTTGAAAATGTAACGCGGTTCACGCAAATAAAGAGGTTTGTACTTTGTGTGGAACAATAGCGCTACCTGGTGTCCAATTTAGGATCACCCACTGTGCCAAAATCGACAAATTCTCTTGTGTAGATTTCTTTTTCTCTCATTCTGTTTGCATCGTTACAAAAATGTATCAGTATTTTTTTTTATTTTTATTTTTTTAAAGAATGCAATTTTTACGAAAAAGTTGCTCCAACAGCCTGTGTGTGGACAGGTCGCATATTTGGTTGTGTTTGTTCTAATAACTATTATTGAAATTAATATATTTTAAAAGTGCCAAACCTAATTTTAGTTTTTCGTCGCCTAAGTCATATTGTTGTAATAGACTGCTCATAATAATGTATTTTATATTATATTTCCTTTTTTTTATGGTATTAGCTTCGCCGTTTTGTGTTTTCCGTTTTGCTTTGTTAAATGTTTTATTGTAATATTAAAAAAATAAAAAAAAGAAATAGATAAATAAATCTAAAATTTGAACCAGTTCATGAACCAGTGTAAAATTAACATACAAATAACTGCATTTCCCATGAGCGCTTGAAAAAGTTCAAAGGGCACGTACGTCGCGTTACGTCTGTGAGGTAATAACAAACATGGCGGCGGTGAGAGCAGCACGGTGCTTGTTCCGCAGCTTTTCTCAAGTCAAAAATGTGCAGCAAAATAAACGCATTCTGCTCAGGTGTAGTGTCAGGACGTTTTGCTCTGAATCAGAGGATAGCGGTGAGTATTCTGTTTTAATATAACTGCTTTAGTAGAAACGGAGTGCGGGTTTTACGCTGACCTTGTGGGTAACAGTACATCTCCCTGCAGTGTGACACAAATTCTACACACCCGGGTTTCTTAAGGTGACCAAACGTCCTCATTTACCCGGGACAGTCCCAGTTTTGAGCCCTGTGTCCCCCGTCCCAGCAGATTTATACAAAGCTACTGATTTGTCCCAGTTTTATTCAAGAAATGTCCCAGGTGTCCCTGTTTTTTGACTAATTTAATCTAAACCAGGACTAAAACAGGACTGTCACAATTTTTGTCTAATCTGCTCCCTGCCAACAGTAAAGAGGAGCATAAATGATCATTTGTTTAGCCAAAAAACAGAAAACTGTGTTTGTGAATAACCATAAAGCAAAATAATGCAGCATCACAAGTCCCTCAGATTATGATTGACAGGAGAATGCACAATGTTACATGCTCTTTTCACAATTTTATTTGTACCAACCATCCCAACCCGGGTGTGTCACAGTTTAGAATTTTGAAAATCTGGTCACCCTAGGATTGCTATAAATAAAATAGTGAAAAGAGCGTGAGACATTGTGTATTCTCATGTCAGTCATAATCTGAGTGACTTCTGTTACTGCATTTTTTATTTAATTTTTGTTAGTGGTCATTTTCAAACTGTATTTGGCTAAACAAATGACAATTTATGCTCTTTAATGTTGGCCGGGATCAGATTAATCAAAAATTATGATAGTCCTGGTTTAGATCAAATTGGTCAAAAATAGGGACCTGTGGGACATTTCTTGCATAATGCTGGGACAAATCACTGTTGTTGCATGAATCTCCTGGGACAGGGGACACAGGACTCAAAACTGGGGCTGTCCTGGATAAATAAGGACATCTGGTCACCCTAGACAGGCTGACACATTTGAGGATTTTCACTGCACTAATAATGGAAAACATGCTGGCATTGGAAACTTTCACAGAAATATAGAAATAAGTTCATGTATTTCTTTCCTGTTGTCTTTTGGGATTATAACGTCCATGTATAAACTAGTAACCTAACCATGCACCATACAGTTTGTATGTGTTTCGGTTTGCAGGGATCAAACTAGCAACTTTCAGTAAAATAGTCAACGTCTCCTGACACCCACCCTAATAGTAGTCTAACATAAGATAATATAAATGGTGTTATCTGAGAGGACTGTTTGACTTATGTCAAGAGACGTCAAGAGGCTGAAGTGGGTTTAGTTTGAGTAAAATGGTGAATATAGAATCTAGAAATGCTCCTTGAGGCGTTGCAGCCCGACATGTGGAGGTGCTGTGTCATTAGGAGCAGAGAGAGACGGTGGATGTCTGCACTGGGACTCTGTTTGTTATAGAGATCTCAGAGTGAAAACATCACCAACAACATCATGTATCTAGACTCAAAGCAATGGAGTGAGTAGGCGTATCATGATAACACATTTAAGTGTCATACTGTTACATACAAATACTGCGATAAACAACCCCACTTACACAATAACTCTGAAGTAGGATAATTTCTAAATGCTTAATATAAAAACATGAAATAAATAAATGGCGGCATAAAACACTAGTACTTAGTAGTGATTAAAGTTACTTTTTTGACCATCTGGAGTACCATAGGATTTAATCTGTAAACACATATAACAAAATAATTAAAAACTAGTGAACCAAAAATGTACTCACAGTATCTAATACAATATCTGGTTTCCCCCAAATATTGTTCCAGCATTCAGATACTGAACAATATGTTGATATTATAATTATGGGGACAGGCCCAGGGGTGAGCTATGCAAGTCAACAAAGAACGCTAATTTGAAAATGCTCATATGTCCTTATTTAAAATGATAAATTCTCTCCACAGCTCATTCCCACAATGCAAAGCCCCAGTTCACAGACCCAGTGGTGCAGGACATCCTGAGCAGAATAACAGGCCTGGACCTGGAGAAAGTGTTTCGACCAATCAAACAGGAGCTGAAGCTGCCTGAATACAAACTCATGACAGACGAACAGCTCAACCAGGTCAGTACTCAATGCATTTTCACTAGCGCTGTAATAAGGGCCTAATATATTACCAACTGTGTATTATGAGACAGGTTTTTATCTCGTGCTGTGTCATTTGGGAAAAAATGTCCAAATGCAGTTTTTCTGACAAGCATTGTGATTGTGATTAGATTTCCAGTAATATTTCATATTTTAAACTTGTCCATGAAAATTTACAAAAAGACTCAAATCTGAACTGACAAACTACCACAAGAATGTATATTTTGTATAGATCTAAACTACAGACTTAGCTTTTTTATACAGATTAAGAGGATATTATTTTATATAATGGTACTTGATAAAAACAACAGCCTTTGTGATTTGATAATTGCATCTATTGAAATTGCAATTTTGATTTAATTGCTACTAATCTTGATTATTGTTGATCTACTTTTAATTTATATTTGAAGTATAGTTTTCTATATTAATACTATTTTCTGACTCCTAGTGTTCACACAATGGAGCTTTTCAGAGCTCCATTGTGAGAATTTTTACATACAATATCCAAATTGTTGATCAGAAACACTAGGGATGCACTAGTCCTTGGTATTGTTGCTGAATAGCTGGATCAAATATTGGTTCCAGAATGTTGTTGTCTGTTGTTGTGTTTTGACAAAGGCCAAAAGGTTTTATCTATTAAGTGCAAGAATTCCTAAAATCAATTACACACCTTCCTGATCTCCATTAATTTGACAATTTGTAATTGTAAAACTCATTAATCCCAATATATTCCAAGTCTTCATTTTCAAGTATTTTAGCTATATTGTTTTTTTTTTATATTTTGTTTAGGCGATGAAACATGCAACAGAGCAGGCAAAGAAGCTGCTCAAGATGCCTCCAGTGCTGCCGGAGAGGAAGCCCATAGATGATGTTTTAGCCGAGGACCCCATTCTGGACGGCATGGACACGGCAAAATACGTCTTTACAGATATCACCTATAATATACCACACAGGGTAGGGATACTCTGCATTACTCTTTACATTTAATCATGTTTTACGCACTTCTATTTGTTTATATGTTTGGCAAGGCAAGGCAAGTTTATTTGTATCGCACAATTCGCACACAAAGTAATTCAAAGTGCTTTACAGAATAAGAAATACATTAAAATCATAATAAAAACAAATCAAAACATAAATAATCATAAAGATTAAAATTAAAAAAGAGAGACATAAATTGGAGAGAAGAGTGCGGAATGAAAACCTTTCAGTTATATGCACAGTTAAACAGAAATGTTTTGAGCCTGGATTTAAACAGCGTCACAGAAGAGTCTGTCTCACATGTTCAGGAAGACTGTTCCAGGTTTTAGCTGCATGAACCTGAAACGCTGACTCCCCTTGTTTAGTCGTGACTCTGGGCACCAGCAGGAGGCCGGTCCCTGAGCTCCTCAGAGTGTGAGATGGTTCATATGACACTAACATGTCACAGATGGACTTTGGTGCTCGCCCATTTGATTTAGCTTCATGTTTCTAGCTGTTTGATAACCATCCAAACACATTTATAATTTTTTTTATTTTATTTTATTTTTTTTTACAAATGGTAAATGGTTGCAATTTTATATAGCACTTTTCCACCTTCAAAGCTCTTTACATCAAGGAGCCACTCACCCATTCACACACCAGTGTACACAGACAATGAGGATAGGTCCGATGGGCACAACCTTGATGTTTATATTGAGAGCAGGATTCAAACCACCAACCTACTGTCTCCCTTTGTGAAGCTATGTTGGACTTGAAGTGTATGTTTATTCCCTACATATTATTCTCTCTGATTTCCTCTTCTATAGGAGCGGTTCATTGTAGTTCGGGAGCCCAATGGCACTTTGAGGAAGGCCACGTGGGAGGAGAGGGACCGACTCGTCCAGGTCTACTTTCCCAGAGAGGGACGCAAACTGACTCCACACCACATCTTCAAGGACGAGAACCTCAAGGTGTTTATAAGAGGGGCAGTAGAAGGGCTTTTACTGAAATGTCTGCTGTCTAGTGTATTTATTTATTTATTTTTCCATCAGATGGTGTTCTCCCAGGATCGCCATGAGGATGTTTTGGACTTATGTCTAGTCCAATTTGAACCTGACTCTTCAGATTATATCAGGGTAAAGATCTCATTTTGTTAACTGCTGAAATATAATGGACAGATCGCTTTCCCATGTAGAGCTTGTAATACATTTGAGGTATTAAGAGCATTAAAAGGAAAAATATTCTGTGACAGTATGATGTATCTTTTAATGTTAACTGTTTATATGTGATCTCTTCAACAAAATGAAACGGCAACCAAAGTCCAGTTTGAATATTTATTGAGGATTGTAGTGGGTTATTGAGCTTTTGGTGGGAGTTGGGATGAGAGAAGTGGGTCAGTGAGGCAATGAGGCAGTGTCTGGGAAGCAGTGAAGCAGTGGGTTGGTTGTCATTCACGCACTGCTTCATATAAGAAAAAGGAAGCTCCACCATGCCAGCTTGAGACTGGGTGGAGCTGGGTGGATTTTGTACAGTTTGCTTAGGAAAGTTTTAAAAATTTCAACTGTAATCAGGAAGTTGTACTAGCCAATTTTCTGTTATAATTTATATCTTGTCTTAGATCCACACAGCTACTTACGAGGACCTGGAAAAACACGGGAAGTACGACCTCCTGCGCTCCACACGACACTTCGGAGGGATGGCCTGGTATCTGCTGAACGCTCGACGGGTGGATGGACTCGTAGTGGACATGCTCAAGAGAGAACTGTGAGTGAGCCCTTTTGCCTGCTTTGTTTGAACTTGCACTCTGTAACTTTTTACTGGTGGAGTGTCTGGCACCTCCTCGTCTCCATGGAGATGTTTTTGCTTTGTCTAGAATGTCTCACACTATAGCATCAAACCTTACCTATTTTTATAGAGGCAATCAGGTGGCACCATCAGGCCAAGATCTGCTGAGAGGCGACCGCACTAACAGTATTTCTAGCAATAAAATCACCAGTAATTGTACAAGTAAAACAATAAAGCAGCAACTCCACAGAAACGAGCAAGTCCATCAGAAATGTTGCAGAGTGGACCTTTTATTTTAATGAATAACACATGACTTCTCATGTTCCTCTCAGGCTCCAGGATGCAGTGAGTTTAGTGTCACTGTTCCACATGGTCCATCCTCACAGTGAATCTGCTCAGGAGGCGGCTCTACAGCAGGCCACAGGCACAGACCTACTCAAGGTGAGACATGAAAATTCAGACCACTTTACATGAATAAATACAATCAGAATACGCTGATCTGTGTAAGATCATGCAAAATCTTCAAAATCTCTAATTGTGCTGTGTCATGTTGTGGAGTTAGTCCTGTATAATTGATTCAGAAACGGTCTCAAGTCATCAGTTCCTTTGTTATTGAATCAGAAGTCGGGGTCACCTCCACAGGTCAAAGCAGGTTCATGGTCTTAAGTTTCTCCTTCAGTGTGGGAACTGAGGGAGCAGGTCCAGGCCACATCAGCTTCTATTAGGGCTCTTCAGCCTTGAACTGTCTGGAGACGCATTGAGAGTGACAGCCATTTAATTTGAACTGTTAGAAGCAAAAGAGTCAACGAAATCAAATTCAAAATGATCACAACCGTCACGCTAGACCACCCCTTTAGTCATGGCTTAATATGAAGATGCATTTCACAAGTATCACATTAACACTATTAACAAGATGTTTTAAGCCTTCTGGACTCCAATCAGTTCTGGTGGGTAGAGCACTAACCTTGGTTTAATTGGTGTGACCACTTCTTCTATTGTTGAAATAAACCTGGACTTCAGCCTTGAACCAGGACTGGACTAGGATTTAGTGAGGATGAAACTAATTTGAATAAACTGTTCATAGCAGGTTATTAAAATGATCAATAGTAAATTTAGTGATCAGTTGATCTCTCGGTGTGGAGTATGAATTGATAAGTTTGGTGTTTTGGATAAAAAACAAAAAAACAATCTCAGGTACTTACGCATCTCGACAAATGGGACAAATGCAGAGGAGATAAATAAATAAACAATAAGATGTCCCTTAAGTTTTACCTTAACATATATAGACTTTTATGCATTGAAAAACACTGAAACATGCATTCTTAAGTTGTGCAGTCTAACCTTGGCATAATTGGTGTCACCCTTTCTCTCTGCTGTTTGGATCTCATTAACCTTTGCTCCTACAGATCTATGCGCAGAAAGAGTCCCAGAGGGCGGGCTACATCGAGCTCGCACTTCAGGCGCTTGAACCTGCAGCCGAAGAAAGCACTGCTACCTGAGTTTGAAATAGGAAAATGAAATTGAACTGTACTGAAAACAATACTGTGTGAAATATGACAACATTAACTGTAACTTCATATAAGTTATATATTAATATGCCATCGGATTCATTTTTGTGTACATATGAAAATAAAAACATGCCTTTTTACAAAAAACTTGGTAATCAGATTGTTACTTTAATGAAAAAACACAGCTCAGTTTTACATAAATCTCTGTATGTGAGTTGTAGTGTTTATAGAAAAAAAAAAAAAGAAAAGGCACTTAAAAATAGATGCATGTAACACCTGTATTGTTTAAAACCTCATACTTGTAAGAAGACCAAATATTTACATCGCAGTACCATGATATGCAAACGTGAGGTAAAATGTTTTGAGGTATTAAAGTGCATATGTCAGGTTTTGATGATTCACAAAATTTTGATTTAATTAGTTGGATTAATGCCTGCTGTAAATATAAATTAGTTTTACACCACACAATTTGTGAAGAACAGTTGAAAAATTGTGGAAAATTACAGGAAGTAGAGTTCTCACACTAAGAAGAATTCTATAATTTCTTTCTTTCTTTTTTTTTTTTTTTTTTTACATATAAACACTTTTTTCCCCCTGAAACTTTCAACATAATTTAATAAATATAAATGTTTTCTTATCATTTTAATTGTCAAATAATGTCTATGTACATTAGAGGAGTTTTGGCTCAGTGTACAATATGATTGTTGGGTTATGGACTTCTCGAGCGGAAGGAAGTAAAATTTGAAGCCTAAAAATGGCTAAACTGGGAGAAAGAGTGTTTTAATCTTTTGTAAAATCTTAAATATGATCATCTTAACAGTGAAATGAGATCCAACCTGTCATAGGCACTTTAAAGAAGGCACTAAAATCACTACTACCAACAAAAAAGAATTAAGCGTATTATGTAAACAACACTGATGATTGTTCTTGCATTTGAATAGCTTAAAAACATTTACTCGTTAAACATATTTTTACTTCCGTTGCAACATTAAAAAAAAAACAACTACATTTAAAAACGAATAAGAACATTTAAAGTCTGATTCCTGGCATTCTGGTCCAAACATTTCTTTTTTTGGTCATCATTAAAGATAAAATCTCTTTAGTTTTCATCTGAGAAATCTTCGTCCAAGTTGACGTCTCCAGGGTCAAAATCTCCCAAGTCGAAATTGTCAAAATCCAGATCATCAAGACCCTATAAAAAGGACAGATTTTAATGAATACAAATGCAATTTAAAGTATATGTAATAAGTATTTAATATCAGAAACAAATAGACTTGGTTTAGTCCAGGTATAGTCCATGTTTAGCTTTAGTTTTGATGTTTTCGCAAGTATAAATTCACCCTAAATATACCCTAAAATGAAACAAACCTAGCCAAAACATGGAGTTTGGTGAGCACTCAAACCCAAACTGCAACAGAATAAAAGTTGTAAAGTAAAAAACTTGTACTACGTGTGGCTAGCACTAACAGAAAAGGTTCTGGGTTCGATCCCCAGGGCCTTTCTGTGTGGAGTTTGCATGTTTCTCCCGTGTCTGGATGGGTTTCCTCCGGGTGCTCCGGTTTCCCCATCAACCCAAAACATGACAGGTCTCCAAACAGTGATAGTCAAAGGTCAATAAATACAATCAATCAATGAACCTGTCCAGGGACACAGGTGGAAATTAGCACTGATGCTACAACCTGATGTACAATGCATCTCTCCTGTCACGGTTAATGCGAAATTGTGCGCTGTCCCTGTCTCAAATAAATAAATAAATAAATAAATAAATAAATACTAGTGTTTAAGAAAAAATGACCCAATGAAATATAAGTTGACAACAATGGTGGTTTTCAGATTTTAGAATGTCATACTTCCAGATGGAGGTCAAGAGACAGTTTTTCCTATTGATTACATTGCAATTTGTCATGAAATGTCCAAAAGTTAAAAGGCAAAAGTCACAAATGCTGATTCTGATAATTTCTCTGAGTTACTAGACCTAAGACCTTGCTCTGCTGCAATATAAATCTACATTTTAACAATATTAATTGTAGCTGCCCCCATCTGTATTAAATTTTATTGGCCTAAAAAATTTAGTTGGAAACCAAATTGATGCATTTCAGAAATCTGACAAGAGGAAACCTGACAAGGACTACTAAACCGGGACTAAACCAGGACTAAACTCAGGACTAAACCCAGGACTAAAATAGGACTAAACCGGGACTAAAGCAGGAAAAAAACAGGACTAAACCCAGATCTAAACTAAGAAAAAACAGGACTAAACCCAGGACTAAACCCAGGACTAAACCAAGACTAAACCAGGAAAAAACAGGGCTAAACCCAGGACAAAACTAAGACTAAACCAGGAAAAAACAGGGCTAAACCCAGGACAAAACTAAGACTAAACCAAGACTAAACCAGGAATAAAACAGGACTAAACCAAGCCTAAACCAGGACTAAACCAAGACAAAACCAGGACTAAACCAAGACTAAACCCAAGGCAAACTCAGGACTAAACCAAGACTAAACCAGGAATAAAACAGGACTAAACCAAGCCTAAACCAGGACAAAACCAAGACTAAACCAGGACTAAACCAAGACTAAACCCTAGGCAAACTCAGGACTAAACCAGTTCCAAAAAATTGAAGACACAGTACTGACCTCATCCTCCTCTTGGGGCTTGTCTGCTGGGCTGTCTTCGGTTTTTGGTTCCACTTTCTCTTCCGTTACGACCGGTCCTACAGCCATTGCCACCAAACCCGAACTCAGCACGTCTGGACTCAACACTTCTGCACCAACGCTTAAAACTTTTGGACCAACATCGGGCATTTCTGTATCCAGCTCATTCTCTACCTTATCTGACAAAACTGGTGTTGTGTCTACCAATGGCTCAAGCATCGGACTGAGCGAAAACCCAGCTAAAGTTGGCGCTGCAGTTTGATTAGGCGGCTCCTCTGGTGCCATGGAGTCAAACGAAATGAGCTGCTCCTCCATCACATCCTTCTGTACTATTTCTTTAACATTTTCGACCGGCGCTGTAACATCCTCAACCAAAAATGGGTCTTCCAACATGGTCGACTCTTTCGCCGTCACTTCTTCATGAAAAAGCTGGTCACTGGTTGCCACTGTTGATATTAAAGTAGAAGTTTCCAAAGTAATATCGAGGAGATCGTCTGTTGTCACTGGGTTCTTAATGATTTCTTCCTCGGTTAAGACAGATACTTGAGAATTTTCTTGTAATTCCTCTTCAGGTGACGCAACATTTTCCTCGATTGCAGAACTGTCTTGTGCAATATCTGGCTCCGTGTTGGTAATTTCGGTAACTGGGGCCACAAAATCAATTCCTTCAGTTGTAAGCGCAATTTCAGTCTCGTCCGTTATTTCTGATTGTGGTGTTTCCATAATTTCCTCTTCTTTTGTTAAGACTGGATCAATGGCTGTGGGTATCGGTTTAGTCTCTACTACTGTCTCTTCAAATGTTGTCACGGTAACTGTGCTTTCAACCGTGTCCTCAACCACCTCCTGTTGAAAACAAAATAATGAAATAATACATTTTAAGAAAGTGTACTACAGGTCTGTGCATATGTAGGCTTAAAGGTGCACTGTGTTTCTTTTCTAATGGGGGTCAGCCACTTGCTTATTTCCATGGACATGTACACTACCGGTCAAAAGTTTCAGAACACCACACTTTTTCCAGTTTTTTTACTGTTTTACCATTTACATATTCTAACCTTTGATTCATGAAAGTGTCCACCTTTGGAAGATATAACAGCTGAACACACTTATGGCATTCTTTTTTACAAATATTCTTCAGAAAGTTCTTCCCAAGTCTGTTGCAGAAGTTCCCATAAATGTGTGGCACTTGTCACTCTTCTGTCCAGTTCATCTCAAACCAGCTCGATGGGGTTTAAGTCTGGAGACTGTGCTGGACACTCCATGTTTTCATGTGTTTGTTTATTCTTTTAACCTCAGGCTGTTCAGTACTTACATATGTACCATTTCAAGCTCTTCATTGGACTTGCACAACTTGAAATGCAAAAAATAACTGGAAAACTTCTTGGGTTCTTTTTAAAGACAACACAGTAAAAAGTATTTACCTTGTTGACATGTTTCGGCTGCTACCTGCAAGCCATCTTCAGAACTGGTAAATACATTTTACAGTTTAAAAAGTACCCAAGAAGTTAAATTACATAAGAAGACAAAATGAACATCTTTGGCTTAATAACTGGAAAAATTAGGGTGTTCTAAAATTTTGACCAGTATGTTACTGCTTTGCTTGGAATGTTCCACAGTATCTATTTTACATTTTTTAGTTACAGGTGTTTTACTGCTAAAAATATCTGTGGTTTTCAGATTCTAGAAGGGTCAGTTTTTCCTATTAATAAGTTTTGACCTTTTGGATATTTCATGGCAAAGTACATTCACAAATGTTGAACCTAATCATTTCTATTAGTGACTAAGCCCAAGAACTCCCTGAATTACACCACAAATCTGCTCTTTAACCATATTCATTTTAGCTGCTCCTCATCTGTAACCCAGCACTACCTAAAATATGCATTCTTATTGTGATCTGTCACACCTCTCCACAGATATGACTCGTAATTTGACCTGCTTCTCTCCATGGACATCAAATCAGACATATTGTGGAACATTTTAAGAAAGCAACAACATCTCCATAACAGAGAGACCCTACACTAGAAAAGTTACACAGTGCACCTTTGATTTTTAAACATTTTAAACTGTGCTTATTCATACTGGTTAGAATTCTAATTAGGGATGTAACGATATCCAAATCTCACGGTACGATATTTATTACGATATTTTGAAGAGATTAATATAATTGTAGATAGGACACTTTTTTGCTTTTAAAATACCTTGACAAGATTTTGGTGTGAATTATTTCTGTCATAATCCCAAGAATTTAAGTAAAAAACATATCTCTTCATGTTATCTTTGCTGAAATGAATCATGGGATATATAGTTCCCTATGTTTATAAACTGTTGCTACTATAAAACCATGCATTTAAGCAAAGAACTTGATGTGACGATACGATATCACGATATTTTGGTCATTGTTACATCCCTAATTCTAATTTAGATGAATAAACATGACTTACATTTGGTGTGTCTATTGGTTTAACCTCTTCTACCAGGATTTCTTCAGGTGGAGATTCTGTTACTGCAGCCAGAGTTGTGCTTTCATCTACGAGCGCCTCTGGTTCCTGTAAAGTACAAATCAAATACTTAAAGAGGAGGTATTACACTTCGATGGGGTATTAAGGTTTGGGAAGTTGTAGTGTATTGTTTCTTATCAAGCTCTTTTTTATTTATGGAATTTGTTATGTGGGAGCATTGGTGACGTAGATTTGTACTGCTAACCATAAGGACGGTTCGTATAGGGAAGAAGAGATCCCTAGATTACTCAGACATGCATGGATGACAAATAAAATTTCTTCAGGCATGTGTTTGATGAGGGAGCATTATAGCACGGCAGAAAGCTCCAATAAGTACACTTGACATAATACTACCTCTATAATACATAAAACATATTCTTGACTCACAATGAGAGTTTCAGCTGGTTTCACCTCCTCTTCAGTTTCTTCAGGTGTAGAGTTTGTCACAACAGCCACCGATGCGCTTTCAACAATCTGCTCAACAACTTCCTAGAGCGAAAGAAATATGTAAAACTATAACTTGACATTTTCATAAAGACTAGTCTCTGACAAGCATGCAAAAAAGTATTAAAGTTGTTTGTGACCTACTTCTGGTGTTGCTATTTCAGTTATTTCTTCTTTTACGGATATAGAATCTGCCACAACAGCAGCAGGTTCAGGTTCAGCCATGTGATCGATGATTTCCTAAAAACAGTGGTGGAAGAAGTACTCAGTTTTATTACTTAAGAAAAAGTGCAGATTAAAATACATACACATGTTCTGAAGTCTTCAAATGTATGGATTTTGATAAAGATTTGTGCTGAATTTTGTTCAACAGAAAGAATCGAATCAGTTGTTTTTTCCTAACTGTTCTTATTTGTTTTTTTTGTATGTTTGTTCAGACTATAAACTTAATAAAAAAAAAAAAAAGTAACTCCACAGCCTTTACAACAAGTCTCGAACAATAATTAAAAAAAAATTTACTATTCAGTTGGGAGGGGGAGTCGAAAGTACAGATATTTTCTCTCAAATGTAGTAAAAGTTAAAAGTATCCACTTTAAAGTCTACATAAGTAAAGTACAGATACCTAAACCATATACTGAAGTACAGTACTTTACTATTTTTACCTTTTTACATTCCACTACTGCCTAAAACACAAGTCCATAAACATACAGTATGAATTCCTCACTTACTGATAGACTCTTGTAGTAACTATATATTGGAGCAGTCAAATTAAGAAGAACAGCAATAAGAAAAGACAAAAACAAAAGTGTTGCTATTGGTATTAAGAAATAAAGAATAAAATTACAAATCTTCAAACAAAGATCAATGCTTCTGACTCACCATAGACTCAACTGACTCCTCTTTAATGACAATAGACTCTTCTTTAATGACAGTAGATTCTTCCATAACATCAGGTTCCTCTTTTGGAGACACCTGAAGGAACAACCAAGAGATTGAGAAGGAAAAGACACACACACAAAACAAAATAAATTAAATTAAGGATTATTATAACATATACCATTAAGATCATTAGATGTTTACAGTATTTTGTTCTTTACTAATTGACAAAAAACAGCCACAAATTCTGCTACTTAAATTATTTTGTCATTTAAATTGTATTACCATTTATTTTTGCCCCAAAGTCTAAATTTGGTTGTTTGATTAAATGTTTTTTTTTTTTGGTTTTTGAAGACCTATGAGGCGATTACTGGAAGCTACACAACACTAAAATGAACTGAATGGAAGCTCACCTTTGACTCTTCTTTAGGGATAAAACCTTCTGATTCTTCCACAACATTACGGTCCTCATTTGGCTGAAAAAATATTTAACAAAAAAGGCATTCTTCTATTTGAATTTTAACATAATTTGGTAATACACATTATTAAGTCATTAGGACAAGAGATATTCAGACTACACACCCCTCCCCTTGCTCCCATCTAAGCCAAATAAATGTAATGTATGTAAATAATTAAACAACACATTTTGCACTGACCATGATGAGTATGTATTCTGCAGCAGGCCTGACCCCGACATGAGTCTCCTGCAGGTAGCGCTCGGCCACCAGGGCGCGCTGTAGCCCCGGGAATAGGTTACTGTAGCTGGACGGGTCAGCCAGAGCGTCGGCTGCCTTCTGGTTCACTTTAGACAGACTCTCCTTCCATAGCTTCACCACTCTGAGGAGAGACACAGCTGTAAAGTATGAAATATTCACACTTTAAAATTCACAATGACTGCCAAATACAGACATGCTCTACTGGAAATAGATTTATCGTAGGATTCATTAATCAAACAGAGCTGTGTTTTGGTCGAGTTGCTGACAGAAATAGACAAGGGAAAGTAAATGGACCTTAACTCATTGCTGTTCACTTAATCAGAATCACAGAAAAGCTTATTAAACTGCCTTGTATTTATGAGGCAAGATGAACTGTAAATATGTAAATAATGGATGGATGTGGTGACTGAGACTGAATGAGAATTTAGTTTTTCTTATTGATTGACTGGATGAATGATAGGATTCAAAAACACTGTATTTTACTAGCATGCAATTAACAGTTTTGCACAAACATATTACCTCTTTGAGATGATCAGAGTTTTTTTTTTTTTTGCATTGTCCTTTATAAAACAAATACACTAAACTACACTATTGCCATTGTCAATGAACAAAATTCACAAATACGCTTCGGCAACATTGTGCATCATAAAACAATAAACAATAATAGTGGTCAAATAAACACTATGCATAAAATACTGCATCAAGAATGAGACTTTGATTAAATACTGTATACATAAATGTAATGTGGGTATTGGTACATCATCACTACACAAGTTTAAAGGTTCATCAGGGTAATCGCGGAGTCTTAAAAGTCTTAAAAAAGTCTTAAATTTCATGTTCCCAAATTAAGGCCTTAAAAAGTCTTAAATTATGTTGTCCAAGTCTTATTTTTTTTCACAAAGGTCTTAAATTTCATTAGCCTATTTTCTGTATACTCAACAAAGCTGCAATTCAATGTTAAATGGAGGGAGGAAATGAACGTCTAAGTTGGAGTATGCACAGACAGTACTTTGGTTTCTGGCGCTGGCGGCAATGAGTAAACAATCAGTACAGTGGAGGAAGATGCTGGATGGAGATGGGGAAGTGTAGGTTTAATCCACAGTGGCTCTTAGATTCTAAATTTAGTAGTTGGTTGGTCATTATTAGAATTGGATCTGGTGTTTTTCGCCTGCATAATGCGATGCTGGTCTTAATTTTCATTTAAGTGGTCTTAAAAACCCTTAAATTTGAGGTAGTCAAACCTGGGAATACCCTGTACAAGTAAGGTTGAATCTCAAATTAAGCAACACTGGACTAAACCAGGATTAAACCAGGTGTTTAAACTATATCTGAAGGTCTAATCGTGGACTAAACAGCAACTAAACCAAAGTCTTAACCTGTTCCAAGCAAGGACTAAACCAGAACTAAAGCAGGTCTAGTCCTACTTACAACAGCACTAAAGCAGGAATAAAACTTTAAATCTTTAAATTAAACTAAATTAGGCTTTAAAAGAAACTGGTATACATCACTTATCATGGATCACATTATAACCAAATTAGAATTATTGCATGTCCAAAATAGGGGTATGCAAAAATATCAAAATATTGATATATTGTAATTCTAAATTTGGTGATACAGTATTGTTATCGTGGGCTGTTGTACTGTTATATTGCCCAGAGGATTTTTTTGGTATCTTTTTGCAATTTTTGTAAGTCCAAACTTTATCCAATACACTGTTCATCATTCACTGTTTCGATGAGCAATGTAGTTCTTAAAAAACAGCAATACATCACAGAGCATCATGTGTAATATATCAGTTAACACATGTATTGCTGTATCGTGATAATATTGCATCTTGAGCTAAGTATCGTATCGAATCATGAGGGACCCTGTGATTCCCGGTCCTCGTCCAGCATTCCTTTATGTGCTGTTAGCATTTAACATGTCACTACAGATATTCTTGTTTTCCATTGAGCAGCCCTGTCAGCCTTGCTTACAGCTCTACCTTGACACTTGGCTCGGCAGGTATGTTCTTGCCAGAAACGCCGCCTCCGGCAACCGATCCGTTTTGATCAGAAGGTCGAGGCATTTGTCCAGTCTGCGAGCAAGGAGCCAAAAGCAATACATTATACAGAGCACCGTGTGGACAGAATTCAAGCTATGTATAGAGGCTGTTTCTTGTCTCGTTCACTCATTTTTTCATAGTCTGATGGAAACAGGCATGGGCACATCACAATTTATAATATGGAAGGAAAATGATTAGGTTGACCGGATTAAAAATAAAACCGGGATGCACCTGGGTTTGGTACAGGGTAATGATAAAATTACAAAAAGAGAGGTCAATTAAGTACATTACGTCCTCTTAACATTAGGAATTTAATAGAAATTGAGTTATTCATTTTTATTCTTGTACCTGATTATCTTAGGACAAGTTATCAAGGTTTTGTAGAGTCTGGTGCATTTTTTATTTTATTTTTATGAGCAACATCCCATTCCTCTGTCCTATTGTGCTCTATATGAGAGGTCAGAACTTTATGGTAAATGGTCAATATATATACTTAGCATTTTTCCTCCACCTTCATGGCACTCAATGCGTTTTACATCACCCATTCACACACACATTCATACACCAGTGTACACAGACAATGAAGGCAAGGTGGATTATGCGTCTTGCCCAAGGACACATCTACTGAACAACCCAAAACACAGATAGAACATTTTAACTATAGGGGGAAGATTAATATGCACTTTGTCTATTCCTGGCTCATTCACATTCAGAGTCTTGTGTCTGTGCAGCTGAGTGCATTTCTGTTCATTTTAAACCACGGTGTTTTCAATTTTGGCTAAACAAATGACACTATATTCATTTCCCCATTCTACTGCTATTGATACTTTGCCGGGACATCATGCTGGGGGTACAGATGATACAGGTATCCCTAATGGAGGAATGTTCAGGAGTTACCATGGTGACACAGTGCACACATTAACAAACACTAGGGATGGGCATTCGATCAAATTTTCTTAATTTGTCATCAGGAGAATTAACATTGATTTTCGAATAATCATTAAAGTTTTTCTATTAAAATTATCATCATCATTATTATTACTATTACTAATCTGCATAAATAAACTCAACTTTACAAATAAACCATAACAACTATAGAGCCACATCAGCCCGGTTGACATTATAATGTGTTTAATGCAGCTTTGTTTATGTTTTACAGAAACTAAACTTAAAACCACATGGCTCATTTGCATAAACTATAAGCACTGAAAAAAGAGCTCGCTCCTTGTGTCGTGACACAGTTCAGCTTCTGTCGCACTATAGGACACGACTCAGTGGAATAAGAGTGTTCTTTCTGTGACAGAGGGATGGTGATGATGATGGTGAGTCTGTTCTGTGCGTCAACTGCGTTGAAGATAGTTCACGTTTTCAGAGATCAGACGTGTGCAGGTTTAGCACAGCTCTTTTACTTAACAGTCATTTCACTCACTTTATTTATGTTGGTCACTTTATTTATTTTGGCTACTGTTGTGATGAGCCATGGTGTTTGTCTTTTGGATGCATGCGCACTCAACTTTATGTTGCATATGTAACCGGGATACTGCGTATACATGCATCATGACAAAACCGGGATACTCAAAAAACCCAATCATAACCGGGATACTAATGTGCCTGTACACACACTTATTAAGTGGTAAAGTGATCTTCAAGGTGGTGTGCCAGAGCCGAAACATGGGACTGTGAGGCTGCAACTTCAGTGTTTGCGCTGTCAGACGCAGCCTTGTCTCTTTACGCTACACTACACACAGCAACCTACATTCGGTTTGTCGATTAAAAATGAACATGATCGATGAAATTCTTAATGATCAATTATAGTCGATCAGTCGACTAATCATGCCCATCCCTAGCGAACACTCTTAAAAAGTTTCAAGATATGCCTTCAGTTAGTTTTACACCCACAGGGAATGTTGACAACGACATCAGCTGCAAAGTATCAATACTGGTCAAAAATCATCACAAGTCATCACAATTTTGGTACAGATAAAGGAGCAAAAGAGTATTTCACAAATAAAAGTATTTCACAAAGTTAAAGTGATAAAATATTGATAAAACAAAATGATGCAATGAGGAAACAAATAACTGCTCTTAAATGTAGTACGTTACAAAGTATCCACTCTAAAATATACTTAAATACCATACTTTTACTTGTCCTTATTGTTCCCCACTGCTGACAGTCATGGCTGCATGATTAAAAATGACACATTGAAAGACTCCCATCATCTAAACTGTTTTAATCCCTATTAGAATGGTATCTCTTCAAAAAGATGAAAGAGAAAATCCAGGATGGGTATATTTGACACCTTAAATCCTTGAACTTCCAATGGCCCCTGACTCACCTGCCCTGCATGAAATAGGCGAGGAAGGCTACATTGGTCTTTCCGTCTGCGTCCGCACCCTCGCCCAGTTTGCCCACCATCTGAGCGTTTCCGGAGGCAGTGGCCAGCAGCAGTAATCCCCCGTAATCCTGGGCATGGTGCAGGCACTCCTGGGCCAGGCTGAAGTGGCATTTTGTAGTGGCCAGTTCTGCCAGCTGCTTCCACTTGTGTTCAGACTGGACCCAGAGCCAAAGCACAGAGGAGAGACCAGAGGAGAGAGCAGAGGATTACCACGCGAGCTTCAACCATGACTTTATAATAGTGTTAGGACGCTCATTGAATACAGAAACCAGGTCAAGGTCTGAGTGCCATGATGAGAGGAGTGGTGGATGAACCAGCTTTTAGGTTTGGATTGCTGGTTCTAAAGGACTGTGCTAAATCTCCTATTTCAAGGTTTCTTTTGAAGCAGTTTAAAGACTTTTCACCATTTAAATGATATTTTGTTTTAAATTGTAAGTTTTCATGTCTTTTTTTCATAATTTTAAAACACATGGCTACTGGGATGTCCTGACCCCAGACAAATTTTGTAGTGATGGGGAACGCAGAAGAAATGCCCCACATGATCTGGGAATTTAACCTGTTAACTTCTTGCTAAATATTAACTTAAAGATGGACAATGTAACATGCTCGTCTCCATGGAGATATTACTTTGCCTTACAAGGTCCCACAGTGTGGCATTTAACTCATCTTTCTCTATGGAGACAAGCAGAGCAGATGGCACATAGGTCAGGTGTGTGGAGACGTGACCCCGCTCACGCAGTACTAATGTCTGCTTTTTGCAACTAGTTTGAAGCAATAAAAACAAATAATTGAATAAATACAAGATTGATAAGTAATAATACTGCTATACTGTGAAACATTCTAGACAACGGCAGAGACAAGTAGGCAACGTACACTCTAAGGTTACAGACTGCTAGCCTGATTCATCAGACGGTTTCACTTTGAGGAAACTGTCTGACCTTGCGACATTAGGATTTATTTGCTTGGCGGTAGGTGGGTACTTTTTTTATTTAACCAATTGCTGTTATTTGGTTGTGACATATGTATTGCGCCAAATCCTATAGGAATAAGTGCAATAACATCTTTCCCCTTGATAAAATTCACCAAACATTCTCTTTGTTCCAGCTTTAAAACCTCGATCTCGGGAATCGTTGCCAACACAGAATGTCGGTCTTCGTCTACATCCATCTCAACCGCTTAGTTTACTGTTGTGTTGTACCACAAAAGGGACCCAGACAAGCGCTTGAGTTTGACGTCATGGCTTCATAGCTCTTCGCTGATTGGCTGGTGCCCGGTTTACAACTTCTTGCAAACCATCTAGTGTATTCTGATTCCTGACCTAGTCGCTGGAGAGAAATTAAATTGAGGCACTAGGTGGTGCCAGCCTGGCTAACTGATTGCACCTTTATAATGCAATGTAAATGATTAAGGATGTTGTTTAGTATTTATTGTCCATGTCCATTATGGTCAAGACCTGATTACTGTATAACTATGTTCATAAGTATTTATATATGTACACTTACCTCTGCCTCCAGGGCCAGCTGGTAGGCGATCTTGAGTTCCCCGAGCTGCAGAGCCAGCTCAAACTTGTGCTCTGGGTCTGTGGTAACTGCCAGGGCCTGCTGCTTGAAGCCCTGTATGAAGAGATAAATACAGTTTTATAACAGTAAATTATTAATCATACATTTCATTTCAACATTTTGACCACTGGGGAGAGAATATTGTAATTTTAAAGAAGCAAAACAAACAAAAGTATAGACAAAAGTAGGAAAATGAGCAAGACAGAAGTGTCAGAGCTTCTCCTGAACATAAACAATATATGTGTCGTTTTGAATGTCAATGTCATTTAACACCTAAAACAGTGAAATTTGTTCCACCAGAATCTGAAACTCTAAACTGCATGTGTTTTTCAGATAGAGGACTGGCTAAAGCTCATTAACATTTAAAGATGACTGAATCTCGAGTAAAATTTGATTAATTTATCCAAAAATTATGTGCTAACATGCTTAAAAAGTTTCAGTTTCTCTGTGCATTTTACTGCTACTGCACATCGTGACAGGTTTGTGAAGTTATAGTGTATTACTGCTTTGTATCACGCTTCTGTTAGATTACTTAAACATGCATTGATGACACATAAAACCTCCTCAGGCATGTTTTTAATGAGGGAAAGTTATAACATGGTAGAGTCATGTCAGTTTTGCATAATGCACCCTCTTTAATGCAGTCTCAGTGTAAAAAGCCATGCAGTTTGGGTGAATGTATTTGTTACTAGAGGATCTGGGGCAAAAGTGTAGCTAAAACTTCTTCAGATTAATATATCTGAAAACCCGAAAGTACTACCCAGAGGCTGCTTTCCATCTGGCAGCCCCATGTTCCTGTAAATTATGCATGCCTTCAAATCCTGCATTTTAGAGTCTGCTGAAGTAGTGAAGAAAGCACACAAATGCACATCTATGGGGTAAAAACAGACCAGCCCTGCTTTCAAACAAATCTCATGTAAAAGGAAGAAAAAATATGTTTCTGAGAAGTGGAATTTTGTCAGAGATAGTACACGTAGTTTTGGGTACAAATAGAGATGTTTCCAGACTGAGATGGTTTAGATTTGTACAGAGCAGGGGAAGTTAAAGAATCCATGTATCATTCGTTCATTCGTTTTTCAATATAAAACCAAAAATAAGAAAACCAAAATGAAAAAACAGATAAAGATTCGTTTTTTCAGTTTTTGATTTTGTGTTTTATGAATAATGGAAAAAACGGATAACAGCCATTTCCCGTTTTATTCCCGTCTGAACCAGGACTAAAACAGAACTAAACCAGGTCTGGGACTAGTCCAGGACCAGACCGGGACTGAGACCAGGACTTAGGCCGGGACCAGACAAGGACTGAGTCTGGGACCAGGACCAGAACTGAGATTGGGACTGAGACCGGGACCAGACCAGGACCAGACCAGGACTGAGACTGGGAGCAGACTAAGACTGAAAATGGTTCAGTCCTGGTTTAGTCCTGGTTTAGTCCTGGTTCAGTCCATATGCAGTGCAAAAGTCCGGCATCGTAGTTTAAGTCACGGAAACGGGAAATGGCTGTTATCCGTTTTTTCCATTATTCATTTAAACACAAAATTGAAAACTGAAAAAGCAAATCATGTTTTTTTTTTTTTTTCATTTGGTTTTGGAGACATATAATCAAGAAAATAATAGTTTTTTCATTTTCTTATTTTTGGTTTTATATTGAAAAACAAATGAACGAATGATACACAGATTTTTAAAGGTGCACTGCGTAACATTTAGCCTAATAATAAAGGGTTACTCAAACAAGCGTAAATGAAACAAAACATCTACAGGTATGTTTGTGACGAGGTAACAGCATTATGAAATGGTCATACTGTTTTGGTCAAAAGTGTATTTAAAATGTCTGATTTACCTGTTTCTCGAGGAAGTGTGCGACCCTGGGCCTCTGCTCCTTGGGGATTGTGGGTAGGACTCGGTCTGCAGTGGTGAAGTCCCTCCTCATCACAGCCGTCTGGTACTCCAGCACTGAGAGCAGCAGCCAATAACTCACAACATTCAGCTCCTTATCCCCCAGGTACAGCCGGTCGTCTTTGGGAATGTAGCCCAGAAGATACATGGTCCTATTCAGAGACACACAAAGGTAATTAGCAATATATTATGAACGTATTTGTTTCACCCAATAAACATGTACAACAGTGGAGGTGATAAAACAGGAGTAAAGATGCTGCTTTTCTCCTCGGTGATGTTATTGCTTTGACTGAAATGTCCCACTGTATAGCACGAAATTTGTATATCTCCAAAGAGACACAAAGGTGACACCATCGGGCCAAGTTACGAGAAAAATCTGTGGATACATCACCCTGCTCACAGTAATAATGTTTTTTGGGTATTTTTAGCAATAAAATTACCTGCAAGATAGAGCACTTTATTGACATACTGTGAAAACATTCCTGGCAAAGCAATATCGTTTCCATGGAGACAAAAAGGTGGCATATTCACCTTAATTAAAACTCTTTATTTTGAGGTGGTAATTCATATGGCAAACCGTTCACACACTGAAAGATTTAAAGATTTTTTGAGTGGACCTTGAAATTATGAAGCCGAATGAACAGAATCCAATCTTTTTTAAGTGTATAGTCAGTATGATACCTGTCCAGGTGAGCCACAGTGATGATCTCTCCTCCGACATAATAGTTGAGTCTGTTCACAGAGCTGGTGAAGATGAAGCAGTCTCCCACCCACACTCCGGTTTTCACCACCTCCTGCACCTCCCCCAGGACCTGGACACCAACACAAATAAACATTCTGAAAACGTTTTAATAAGAAAATAAATCAGAAAAATATATAAGTATAATTCCTGACGTCAAAAGCATCCTCGATCCCGTCCTCTGTGATGTCTTCTTTCTTCTCCAGAGCGGCTGCTACTTTCTCAGACAAGTACCTCAGCACAAAGAAGGACTCCTCTGTGGCAATGCACACCAGCTCCCCAGAGTCAGACCAGAACACCTGAACACAGTCAAGAGGGTCAAGATTAGAGGTCCTTTAAACTACTCTAGCATGTAGCACAACAATGTTTTATAATATTAGTGATTTAGTAATTATTAGAAATTATTTGTACTTTTAGTCTGTCCAAATCATTTCCATTTGATTGTATTACTTAACCGAAATATGTAAACATTTACAGTAGTCGCATTAATTATTTTCAACTTAGTTTTTATATAGTCAGACAAAATGAACACTGAAGTTGTATTAATTATATAAAGTGAAATTCATTTAGTAAAAACGCACATGTTTAGGTTGGATTTCAATGCGGCGGATGAGGTCAGCACTGTCCCAGTCATAAAAGGCCAGACCACTGCTGGACCTGACACCAAGAAGGAAGCCACCAAAGATACCTGTCCACAAGAAAAGATACCAAAAATTCAGGTTCATCATCACACTAAAGGATCTGCCATCTGCTTGTCTCCATGGAGATGTTGCCTGGAGTGTTCCTGAATGGCATTAAACATGAACTTATCTGGATTTATTCAAGCAGGGGTGTTTTAATGCGACAAAAATGCCTTGACAAACATTCATTCTTACTGTCTCCACAGATGTGACTAGTATCTATGTTACCTGTTGTCTCCATGGAGTTAAGTAAGTTTAATGTCATGATGTAGAACAGTCTAGGCAAAGCAATAACATCTCCAACAACATGAAAAAAAACTACAGAGTGCAGCTTTAACATGTGATAGTGAAAATGAGAGCTGGTTTACCTTCACATCCAAAGTCAGGTTTAAAAGTCTTTTTCTCTTTAAAATTCTTGAAGATTTTGACTTTGTTACTGCCTTCTCGTACAGCATATCTGTAACAAAAATGCATTTTAAATATTGTAACCTTTTTTAAAATAAAATATACAAATCTGCTGGATGTTTCGACGTACTGTGAGGAGTCATGGGCCCAGACAAACTCCTGAGCTGTTCCAAAGCTTTTGTTCCTCAGGGCCATGGCCGTGTAGATGATGTATTCTCCATCTCCACACATCACCACAAATCTAATGTAATACAAATGCACAGATGAGGAAACTAACGTAATATATGAAGCATGAAATTATTAAGATTTTATATTACACAAAGAATGGGTTTTGATGAGGATATGCAGGAATAAACGACTGGATGTAAGAAGAATATGGAATGTTTAAAGCAGTGCTCACCTTCCATTGGGACTGTGCTGGATGGTCTGGGGGTAGATTTCACAGCTGCCCATGTCTTTGACTCCTAGGGGAAGCCTCTCTCCGTCCCTGATCTCAGCGTCCCCCATAGCCTTCAGATTGGCCTGCTGCACCTCTGAATGTCGCGCCCACATCACCTTCCCACTGGAGTCCATGGACATCGCCGGCTCTTCGCGCCCCAACTGCACGGTCAGATACGGAACATTGTCATCACATATAATCATTATTTGGTAGACTCACTAACTCGATGCCTAGTAATAATAATGGCTACATGCGTGTTTTCAGATTTTATAATATGATAATGTTAGCCACACTTCTTGTATCGACTAGGACTGAAATTTTTCAACTTTTTTGTTTCAAGTATATGCAATATATGGGTAAGAAGTAGTACTGTGTTCAGAGTTCACATTAACATTTGAGAGAAGACTGAAAGAAATTAATATATGTTTTTGCAGAATGCCTTCTATTATGTAAATAATTGTGGCATCTCAAATTGCGATTTCAATTTGATTTCACATCACAGTTACATTGGAGAATGGAGATGCATTATTCAAAGGGTAATAGGCATTTTCACAGCTAATCTGAGGACAAAATGTTCTCTTTCTGACTAATATTTCCTACCCAGCTGCTTCAATACAAAGATAATTATTCTGTTCACCTGTCGGCGAGCATTACATGCGCCTGATCATTTATAAAGTTTTTTATTACGCTGCTTTCTGATCTCTCTTCTAATGTTGTTTCCGCATCACAAACATACCTTGGAGTTATGTTTCATTCACAGATGTTTAACACACACACCCTGCATATTTAGGCTGAGTTCTTCTCTCAAACTGAGAACACTCATATACCGTATTTTCTGCACTAATGGGAGCGCTCTTAAGCCTCCATCCCCATCAAAAAACGACTGCACGGCCTACAATCCAGAGCGCCCTATACACGAATCCACTCGGGTGTCCCAGCATGACTTCAGTAAACTACAAAGACACACACGGAGCAGACAGCGGCCGCGCAGCGAAAAAACACTGCAGCCACACTCATCGCTCCACGCAGACGAGGAACGGAACGGAGGAACAAACCGAAAAAGCGAGTGCAATGTGCCACTTCTAGCCACAACTGAACAACTGAATCACTGCGAACACACCAACAATCCAGCAGTTCCAGACAGCACCCTCCCTACACGCCACAACTGAACAAAGCCCAGAGTCACCATGAACGCGCCAAAGAAAGTCCTACTGACCCATCCAACTGTTGTGTTTTGTTTAAAGTCCAGTGCGGTTTGGTTTATTTGTGAAAAAAGTTTGAAAATAGACCATTCTATGACAAGTGCACCTTATAATCCAGAGTGCCCTATAGTGCAGAAAATACGGTACCTTCATTAGAATCATATGGATCATTGCAACCCTGGAATCTTGAATCTCTGCTAAACAATAGCTAAAAAGAGCTGTTAACTTAAAACTACTGCTTCGTGACATCACAAGGTGGAACTGAGGATTTGAACTTGGGGGATGTAGATAACCCAATAATGATAATGAAAATGATGTGCTTCAGGGTTATTTTTTTTGCGTAATATAGGACCTTTAAACATGATAAATCTCTTTACCTTGATGATGATGCTGCCTTCATCGTAGCCCAAAGCGACACTGTTTGAACCAGACTGACTGCAGATGCACCAGACCCTCTCCATGCCATAGTTCAGCGTGTTCTCCAGTCTGTAAGTGTTGGAATGCCAAACACGGACTGTGCCTAAGAAGGATAAACAGATAAAATGATATAATAGGATTTGAATGAATGAATAAATAAATAAAATTGTGCAGCTCTAGATTAAAGAAAGACATTACCATCTTCTGAGCCGGTGAGGATGATTGGCAGCTCAGGGTGAAATGAAACACAGGTGACGTTCTGAGCATGACCTTCCAGAGTCTGAACACATGTTTTGTTCTGAGAAAACACACAAAAGCAAATAAATAATCTCTTTAATTTGTTTTTTTGATAATTAAAGGTAAAATGTAATAAATACTGTTACAATAAATGTGCCTTTACTATTTTTTGTCCATCTTTTTAAACAAATCCATCCATTAATCACACTTAAGCATTCATATCTAGACGCTTTTCTGAATGTCCCAGTTCAGGTACGCAGTGTTTACAGACCTGATAGTCCCATATTTTGACCAGGTGGTCGTCAGCCCCCGATATGAGATAAGGCTTGTCTCCTCCGCTGTAATAGTCAATACAGTTCACCCCCTTCTCATGGCCCTCCAGAGTGAAGTTTGGAGTTTTGGATCCCAGTTGCCACACCTTCAAAACAAAAAAGGGACATTAGTACAAGGTTAATATTTAATAATGATTTTGCCTTTGTTTCATTTCATTCATTGCCCTAAAGGAATCTCATTAATCACATATTTGCAAACAAGTACACCCAGAGCAGTCCTCGGGCATAATTTAATGTAAGAATTTGTAGGAATGTAGGAGCTGCAGTAGTATATTTGAGTAAACTACAAAAGAATATAAACAAACTGTATAGGAACATAAATAAAAACATATCATTTAACTGCTCAATGTTGAGAAAAAAATACAGAAAAAAAAAAAAAAAAAAAAAAATTTTTATATATATATATATATATATATATATATATATATATATATATATATATATATATATATATATATATATATATATATATAGTAAATAAATGATCTGCTCTTATTTTGTTTTGGAAATTATCACGAGAACTCTAATCAAAAATGCAAAAAATCTACATATCATAATAAGCCTAATAAAGATTTTATATAAGTATACAAATATGTACATTTAAATAATTAAGAATTCTTTAACTTTTCCATTTTCCATTACATTTGAATTACTTTTACTTGAAACGAAAATGTTGATACTTTCAACCAACTATCTTACCTAGTACATTTGCCAATTTGATTTTGACATATTTACCTGTATTTGCGCTCTGTATTTGTGTATACTTTGTGATTACCTTGATGGTCCGGTCCAGAGAGGCGCTGGCGAACTGGTTGTTGTCTTTAGGGTTGATTACGATCTGCATGACGTAGTGTGTGTGTCCCTCAAACACCTGACAGCACAGCCACTTCCTGTCCCAGTCCCACAGCTTGATCAGCATGTCATCTGCAACAACAGCAATGGAAATACACTGATTTAAATGTGGTATATCTGATTTTTAAACCATAAAGGAAGGCAGTTTTAAAATCTCATCAATCTATCAATCCTAGCCCTCTTAAACCCTTTAGAACGTATTCGTATGCATGGATTTTGTGAGAACGTACACAGCTGCAGAACTGCTTTTTTCTGACTGCAGAGGGTAAGAACTGCTCCATCCTTGGGCAATTTCTGATGCTGCCACTTTTTCAACTATTTTGCAATTTTACTATGTTGTTTCCTCTGTTTTTAGTTGCTGCTGCAATAAGACAATGCATTGAAGTAAAGAAGAAAGAACAATATACTGTGATGGCCCATGATATGATTGTGAGACCAATTGCCTATTTTAAATACATTCCATGAAAGTTATCATTTCCCTTACCGCTGCTGGTGAGGATGAAGGGCTGCGACGGGTGAACGGCGATACAGCGGATGTAGTCAGCGTGAGCCTCAAACATGTGAACTCTCTCCAAAGTGTTGTAGTTAAACACTCGGATCTGCATGTCGTCCTGGAGAGAAGGAAATTGACGGTTAGAAATGTTCAAAGTAATTCAACTGTTACAAATACACAGATATATACGTTTACTCACTGCGCCTGCGATGACCCAGTGTTTCCTAGCAACAAACTTTGCCACTCGGACGGGCAGGTCACACAGCTCAAAGGTTTTCACAATACTCTGCACAATAAATATATAGTAGTTTAATTTTACATAGTGTGCAGTAGAATCCATACAATTGTACTCCAAATTTGTCTGATGTTTCTCTCTCTGTAGTCAAGGAGTTTTTTTTTTTTTTTTTTTTTTCTGTGAAATACATGAATTGATATATTTGGTTTTTGTATTTTTTTGTATTTTTTTTTTTTTCAATTTGATTTTTAGTTGTTCCTTAAAGTGTAGTAGATAGAATTTTTTTGTTTGCAATCTGCTTGTCTCTATGGAGATGTTGATGCTCCTGAAATGTTCGATAGTATGGCTTATCTGTCTCCATGGATACAAGCAGTTGACATTTCTATGCCAAGTTACAGGTCAGATCTGTGGAGAGACAACACTACTCACAGTATAAATGCAAGTTTAAAAGTAATTTTTGTACATTAAAAAAAAAAAAAACACCTGTAATCGAATGAAGATGAATAAGACAGCCACTTTTAATGCCATACAGTAGAACATTCTAGGCCAAACAGTAGAGACAAGCAAGTGGGGAACACTCCACCAGAAAAGTCACATAGTGCATCTTTAAAAAGTAATGAAGATTGCTTGTGTCTCTTTTACAAATAAGACTTTGTGAATGAGTGAGAGATGGTGAGATGGTGAGACCTGAGACTGGTGGTTCCAGACGACCACAGTGCCGCTGTACAGGCTGATGACCATCCAGGGCTCTGTGGGGTGCAGGTCCACGCTCTTCACCCGGTCCGAGCGCGCCGTCAGCTTACGCTTTATGTCCAGACGCAGAGGCTGTGGAAAAAATAACAACAATTAGTATGAACACTGTAAAGCATGGTTAATGTGTTCACTGCTGAAAAAAGTAGGTCTTATGCATAAAGCCAAATGTGATGCCTGTGGTTGACTATGACATATGAACACCCTTTTAATTCTTCTGTCATCTTAAAATGACAGCATGTAACTTTCTGGAGGAATCACCTGCATGACTCCATGGAAATAGGAATTTAAAACTATACTATGAAAAATTCTCCATGGAGAGAGATGTGGAGTATTATAGCCAAGGGAACAACATTTCCATCATGATAAGAAGAGGAATGCACTTTTCCAGGTCAAATAAGAGTCAGGTTTGTGGAGATGCAAGCTCACTCAGAGTAAGGATGAATGTTTTCCAAAAAAACCCCCAAAAAACATGGTGGGACTTTAGTTAAGAGTTGATTTTATCCACATTTTTCCACTCTTTTGGGTTAGTTGGGTTAGTCCTTGTTTCTAGCAATATAGTCCTATTTTAGACCTGGTGTAGATCTAGTGGTGCTCGGAAGGCTAAATGCTTTCTTCTGTTTTCTATCGTATCTGGTGAGAACAAATTGAGAACCACCAGCAAACATTTCTGAATGTGAAACTTAAATCTTATAAATCTATCAACAACTGCAAACTGATGAACCATAATTGAGCCTCACAAATAAACATCTTGCATTCTACTTTAGGTTTCCCTTTTTTCAGCCTAATTCAATTTCTCTTCATGTCTGTAGGGAACCAGCACAAAATGTACAGACTCACTTGTGTTTTGTTAATAATAAACATGTAATACAACCTACTATAAAACTATTAAAACAAACCAAATATAAGGTTGCTAATTGTCAAAGTAACCTGTCTGTCTTCCTTTTTTCCTTCTTTTTTTTTTTTTTTCTTTTGGAACCAATATTTTCAGGTTGGATGGCTGAAGGAGGTGTGTCAGTCTTTCCAGATCACATATGCATGCCTTCACACGAATTTTAACTAGTCTATTGCTGTTTTTATTTAGATTGCTGCATAATGTAAATCTTATAACTTTAATATGTCTTTTGCACGCCGATAATTGCCTAATGCTTATCTTGTTCTACTTTCTGCATAGTTGTGGCATATGTTTCCCAGTTTGCATAATGAAAGGTACACGTTGCACAAGAGACACAAAGCTGATCCATACCAAAAGACAACTCGGTCAAAGGAAAACATTAATCTCACCATGATTCCGCGTCAGTGCGTCTTTACGCCGTTGTCCACTAAAGTTATTAAACACCCTACCCAAGACCTACTTCAATGAACCAGATTCATAGAAACGTAGAAACTTTATGGCAAGTCAGAAATAAAGCATTAAAGACACTTCCATTTTCTTCCCTTTCAAAATAAAACACTCAGACGCGCATTGAGTTTATTGCGCATTTATGTACATACCTGGCTTGGAATATAATGCAGGCCTTCATATTTTACATTGATTTACGTTCTCTAATGACATATTTTCCGTTGTAATGTACCCCCAGTTGGTAGGCTTACATTATGCGTACAGCAGCATCCAACTATGATTTTACTCCAAGTGCAGTTTAGTGTCATTTACCTACTAGTCTGTCCAAAGGTTTCAAAATGATAAAAAATTAGGACCGTTGCCATAGCGATTAACAATTTAAAACCACATAAGATATATTTTGAATGGGGAAAAAGTGGCTTCATAAAGATGCATATAACAGGAAAGCTGAAATCCATGAAATTATTTTAAAGTAGACGAATATAGCTTGCAAATAAGCAGGGTATACTTGTTGTTTACTAAGGGATTCAAGAACCACGCCGTGTATACATTTTATTTTAAAGGGGGAACAGATTATTTTCGGTCTGAAGCGTGCGTCTTTGCGTAACTTGTCGCTCCTTTATTTTGGCTACGTGGATTCTCCTTCGTTTCCGGTGGTTTGTGCTCCACATCCGGCAGAACAAACTGTACCTGGAGCCGCGTGCAGCGCTAAAGCACGGGCTAACTTTCTCCAGTTTGTTTTCAAGTATTTTTCATGAAAATTACCACTGTTATAAGCAAATAAGTTCCACAAAACCACAAACGCCACCTCCCTTATGTTGTTAACTTTGTAACCGAAGGGATTTACTCAAAACGGGTTGATTTACCTCACCTACTGATGAGGGGACCACATGGAAAAAGTGTAAATCTGTGAAACATTGACTGTGTGCTATAAATAACCTTAAACTAGGGTGACCAGAATCTCAAAAAAAAAAAATAAAAATTTGGACATTCACAGTTTTTTGGTGGTTGGTAATAATAAAATGGCAAAACTAGTATGTAATTGAGAAAAATTGTTATGCAGAGACCATTCGTGAGCCAGTATAGTCACATTTTCTTTGTGTTTTGATCGTTTTTAAGCAGATTTTTTGTATTTTACCTAAATAAATTACAATATATGCCTGCCTTTTTTTTAGCACGTATAAAATTGGTGAAAAATAGAGACATTTGGGACATTTTTTGCATCAAACTGGGACAGATCAGTGGTTTTCGATAAATCTGCTCGGACAGGCTTAAAATCGAGACTGGGCCGGGTAAATAGGGATCTGGTCACCCTACCTTAAACATTAAGAATTTAATATTATACGCCTATATAACTGATTGTGGCTCAGTGATAAGAGAGTTTTAATCCAAATTGATAGGCCTATTATATTAACAGGTTGCTTTTTTTTTAGGTATTGATGCTTTGCAACTGATGTCATCAACATTCTCTGGGTTGTGATGCGAACTGAAGTACTACTCAATCTCAAGCTCTGTTACTCAAGTTAGACTTTATCTGAGCTTCATTTTAACACAATCTGACCAGAAAGATTGATTTATCTGCAACTATAATGGGTGAGATGACTTTGCTTATAAACAATTCTCATTAAATTTGTCACAAACTATTAGTGAACAGTTTTTCAGTTAGTCGCTCTCACTTTTTTTGGTTATCCATCAACTTTTTTTTTTTTTTTTGGCAGTGTTTACTAATGTGTGCACCATGGTAATATCATAAAGAACACTCCCAGCATGATGTCACTGCAAAGTATCAGTAGAGTACCTTTCACAGAGATCAACTCACAAGGTGCTTCTGCAATGGCAAAATATATGTTTAACTTGTTCTCTAACATTTCACTGTTATAATTATCTAGCACAGAGATTCAGAATATTTTAAAAAATAGATGAAATGCTGCAACATTATTAAATACAAGCCTACTAAACCTAGTTGCAGAAGTATGCTTTCTACAACTATAATTACGACAGGTCTTAATATGGCCAACTTCAAGTTTCAGTACCCCTTTCATTATCTTAATATCACTTGCAAATCTGTTGACAACATAGTATATCATTTGATCATGATTTGGACCACATATGAAAATGACCAGAACCTTGATTTGATTTGAGAACATCTGATTTGTGTGAACATCTTAAATATATTTGGAAAAAATAGATAAATAAAACTTTATTTCTGATTCTGATTTTGGCCCTATACAGTATTTCACCTACAGTGTGAATGCAAAAAAACAGTGTCTGTTTTATTTCTTTGCCACTTGTTTAAGCCACTTAAACATACTGCATGAAACCAGTCCCACCAAATGTTTAAAAATCTTTATTACAAGTGCAGTATAAATAGAAATGGTCAAACGTGCAGAGCTGTTGTGTTCTTATGCCTTCTTGAAGACTTGATGGCAGAGCTTGTCCTCTACAAAGATTTCCTAAAGATACAAAACAGACCTTTAGACATTAGACACATTACCCATGATGCAACAGTTTTCGCTGGGTTATATAATTTCTAATCAGACTGGGTATTGGTGCATGAATCCCTTTATTATTATTGCACACGATTATAAGAGCATATTCTTATCAGTGGCACTTTAGATTGTCTAGATTGTACATATAGATAGACTTTATTAATCCAGCTGCAGTACATCAGACATATCAGCAGAAATATATTTAAAATAGGCATTAAAATCAATTATCTTTCTATGCACAACTCCTAATATAACAGTAGACCAAGTTTGAGAGGAAAGTATTCAAGATACTACAAATGTGCCAGTGAGTTTGAGAGAGTTGTAGGCAAAAGTTATCACTATCTGGTCACTATCTTGTTGTTTTGTGTTTACTGTCTGTCTGGTCAATGTCAAATATGCTCTAAAGAAGGATTCTGATGACAGATTTCATAACTCCTTCATTATCACAAAAATTAAAAGGAATTGCTGGATGTTAAAGGTCCTATTTTACACTGTGTGCTTTAGGCCACCTCATCAAAAACATACCTGGAGTTGTTTTTTTGTTGTTGTTGTTGTTGTTGTTTTGCTTCATTTGCACATTTAATCCTGCATTATTAGTTTTTCTACATCTTCAAAGCTCCACCTTGTGTTGTCAGGTAGTGGTCGATTTCAAATTAACAGCTCCCCTTAATCTTTAGTTCAGTAAAGATTCTAGAGCTGAAATTATCCAAATGATTCTAGTGAAGCTGTATGGAGTTTAAAAGTACAGTGGAGCACTTCCTGTATTACCACATGACATCACAAGGTGGAAAAAAAGTTTTAGGAAGAACTCAACCTACATTATGCAACATTTGTGTGTTAATCGTGTGAATGAAACAAAACACAACTCCAAATATGTTTGTGATGAGGAAACAACATGGGTCAAAAAATAATGTATTATGGACCCAGTAAAGGTCCAATATGAACATTTCTGATGCAGGTTCCTCCACTTGCTTGTCTCTGTGGAGGCAGAATATTACACAATGTGGCATTAAACTTATTTATTTCCTTGATGACAAGCAGGTCACGCCACCAAGCCAAGGTCATCTCAGATCTGTAGACCGACAACTCCACAGCAAGAATGTTACATAGAAACATGTTTGTCAAGATATTTTTGAGCATCAAAAACTAAAGAAACCAATTAAATAGATATACAAGTTTAAAGCCATACTGTTGAACATTCAAAGCAAAGGAATAACATCTCCTTGGAGACAAAAGGGTGGCAGACATCCCTTCATAAAAGCTAAACAGTGAATCTTTAAACATGTGACTTTACCTAATAACATGTCATTCTTAATCCATTCTCTCCCCTCTTACCAGATGGAGCAAGTCCCCTTCGATCCAGTGCCTCCAGCCTCGGTTCTGCTTCTCTCCCTTCTGGACACAGGCGAGCTTGTCCCCGTCCCAGGTAACCAGAGTCTGAACAAGCATCAAACACGTTATACAGACAGATTAGATAAAGAACATCCACAGTTTAATAGGAGGCAATAAGAGCTGTGATCAAGGACCTTTTTCTCCTTCAGTCTGAGTCAAATTCCTTAGCCTCCAGTCAAGAAAACATCAGAAAAAAAATAACATAGATGACATAGATTTTGCGTTTAACTTATCCACATGTGTTGCAAACCTCTAACTGTTTATGCTTGATTGTTATTGTACACGCAAATTCATACCGGAGCTGCTTTTTCCGATTGCTGTATCTGTAATTACTTGAATCTTATCTAATATTCCAACTCAGCCCCTGCGAAAGTTGGCCAGTAAAACATAATTGGTAGTAAAGATAAAGAGTCTCACCATGACTTTTCTGTTGTCCAGGCCTTTGGTGTGCTCCTCAAACTCCACTCCGATCGTGAAATTCACCTCATAATTCCTGAAGGTGCTCAAGGTCTTGGTCTCAAACTTGTCTCCGTTTTGCACGAACACTTTGGTCTGGTGAAGATGGCTGGCGATCTTTCTGGTGGCAAAGTCGATGTCTGAAAAAGTGAAGTAACACCATAGAGGGTTAAAAAGTTATTATGAGGGTTAAGTAGACTAGTTGGAAATAATGGCATTTATTGGAGGTGTAGTAGAGTTAAGTAGAGCTTTACTTTATATTTCTATTGGATATGTTTTATCTATATTGTGCAGCACTTGGGAAACTGTTTTGTTTAGGAAATGTGCTATAGAAATAAAGTGGATTGGATTTGATTTAAAGGTTTAAGTTAAAACATTCACATTACTCCTTCAGTAACATTCATGAAATAATCGTCCTTCTGCATACATTTTTCTTTTCTTGGACATTTTTGGGGAAATTTGATGAGTTTTTTCTTGGCCTCTCTAGTGGTGAGATGCAGTCACTTCACGGGAATTAACTGTGGTGCATTGTGGGAGATGTAGTAGCGGCACAGAGTCACAACATAATAATAAATTATACCTTTTAAGCCCTTGTTGGCCACATAAAATGGCTTGGCAGGCCAGATGTGCTCTAGTCTATATTATTTCGAGGACTAATGATACCATAAGGCAAAGAGAACTGTTTTTATATAGCCTTTTTTTCATATATTTTATGTACTTTTGAATATATTTTTAAAGGTTCACTATATAACCTTTTGATAGGAGGTCTGTCACCTGCTTGTTTCTATGGAGATTTCATCGCTCTACCTGAAATCTTCCACAGTATGACATTAAACAGCTCTACCTTACAGTTATTCAATTATAGCTGGTTTTATAGCTCAAAAATATTTAGAAAAACAGGCACTCTGTCTCTGAGAGAGGTTGCCTTTCCACAGATCTGACCTGTAACTTGGTCTTTGTAGTCTGGTAGTCTTTGTAGAATGGTTTAATGTCATATTGTGGAACATTCCAGACAAAGCAATAACATCTCCACAGAGAAAAACATTTCCAAATTACGGACTCTCTTTGACAAACATCCAAGGAGAACTTGCAGATACAAAATAGTTGCGAAAAGGTTAATAACCTAGAAATGTATGAATGTTTTTATTATTTTTTAGATGTTGAGTCCACAAACCAAAAAAAGGACCTTCAGCTGACAACAATTACATGATCCGGGAACCATTACAAAAAATATATATTTCAGTTTTAGTTCATTTCTACTGATCAAAGACACTGAACTTTGTGCCAGTTTTTGTTTCATGTGAATAGGCCAAGTTATTAACCATAAACCAGCTCAACAAATCTGCAATCTGACTATTAAACTTAAAATTCCACCTGAGAATTCTAAACTGTCCCTCAACTTTTTTATTTTTTTTTTTTTTACTATGTTTTGATGTCATGCAACCTAATGTACGTTTTTTTTTTTTTTTTTTTTTTTTTTGTAAAATTTGAAATGGTACTATTTAGGGCTTGGAATCGCAGGATCCCTCACGATTCTATACATGGTTCATGATACGATATTCCAATATGGTGATACAAGCGATATATTGCACATGATTTTTTTGCAGTATATATCGCTATTTGAAGAATCAGATACATTTTAGGAACAGCATTTCTTCGTTAAACCACTACCTGTGCAAATCCAATATTGAAATAAAATTATTGTAACCATAAAAATTTTGAATATGTCATAAACAAGTTTCTTTTCTCTGAACAAATCACAAAACTGTAGAACTGTTACAAAATAGTTTAGTAAAATAAAAGCCAAAAAAACTAACTTGCGATATATCTATATAGTAGCTAGGGATGTGCAAAAATATCAAAATATCTATATATTGTATTGTTTAATGTGATGATACAGTATCGATATCGTGGGCTGCTGTATGTATTGATATATCCCCAAGAGTATTTTTGGTGCATTTTACTTAATTATTTTGTTACAGTGCTGCAGTTTTATTGCTTGCTTTAAGGACGGAAACTAATTTATGCAACTAATTTGACATTTTCAAACGTTAAAATGTTTGTGTTTCATATGAACTTCGCCGAAGAAGTGGTTTAACAAAGAGTTTTAGTATCACAGCCATGATTTAGCCTTTATTTTTAATTGAATCGTATCAAATCGATTTGAAATATATTCGTATTGAAAGTGCACTGTTTCAAAATATAAATCGTATCGTGGCCTATGTGTCAAGGTATGTATCGTATCGGCAAATTCTTAATGATACGCAGCCCATGATAATGATCCTGTATGGCCAAATTTAGTATCACGATATTTCCATATGTCAATATTTTAGCACATGCTTACTATTACTGTGCTGTAACTGTACTTTTAGTATCCCGCATGCCTTATTTCAATTACATCTCCTATTTTTGATCCCTCCTCTTATACGTCCCTGACTGATGTTTTGACAGTGTAATTTTCCCTTTAAAAATGACCTTGCGGCGAATCCGGACAGACTTAAATGAGCTCCCCTGCCCCTCGCTTCAGCATATGACCCAATCACCTCACCGTTTTCACATTCACGTCCCTTTCCGCCCTTAAGTAAGAATTCAATTTCGCTCCATCGCATTTCAGATGAGGTGCCTATATTTACCCATCTAAATGATAGTTTGAGCCATTTCCATAAGGATGTCATTTTCGACCACACCTGCTGGAAGTAAGAGGCTGTAGAGCAGATTCAGTATGCAGGTTTCCCCACGTAACCGTATCAAGGTTGTATCATGAATTGCAGATGCAGTTGTGAATTATGGAACGGTTTGGGATAAAAGAAATGTCAAATGGATAGCAGATAGTCGCTTTCTTCCTTCTTTAAAATGATGAGTCCCTGTCTGATCTGCGCTCTGTCTCCTTGTATCGGAGCTGTAGGAAATTATGTGCTCAATTAGGAATTTTTTTTTGTTTTTTTGAGTGAAGTAAATTTTTTTCCCCCATATATAAAGGTGCACTATGTAACTTTTTTGTTTTTGTTTCTATGGGAATGTCGCTGCTCTGCCTGGAATGTCCCGCGGTATGAAAGTTCCACAGCTCTACTTTACATTTATTCAATTCCAGGTGGTTTTATAGCTCAAAAATACCTAGAAAAACAAACATTCTGACTGAGCGGGGTCGCCTCTCCACAGATCTGACCTGGTCTCCATGACAATAAAAAGATTTAATGCCATATTGTGAAACATTCGAGACAAAGCAATAACACCTCCACGAGAAAAGCATTTGACGGAACCTCCACTAGAAAAATAAGTCTGTATCTAATTAGAGTTTTGTTGTCTGTTAATCAGGAAGTGCGTGTTAGCATACTAGTTGTAGAGAAGCGCATATAAGCTGATCATGGTGAATAATTAGGATATTCTCAGTGCACGAAGTAAGTTAGGAATAGTTCTTTATACCAACCAACCATCAACCAACTAGTTCTAGGTTTTGTTTAGTTTTTTAGTTTTCTCCACAATTTAAGAAAGTAAAAAACACCCTTTAAGTTACAGCTACACTATTTTCTGCTTCTTGTTACATAAATACAATCATTTTGTCATAGATTGAATTTGGTTTTCAGCCAGTGTACCGGGGAATTCGAATGTGCCTTGAGGTATTATCAAGTGTGCCTCGGAAATATCTGCAGTTTGAGTAAAGCAATAATTTACCATTTTTGAGTGTCCTGAGCCCACTTCTGCACCAAAAAAAGAAAGCAAACCAATCATTACTGCCAAATGTGAACAGAGGGACAGGCAATATCTGCTACATTAGATATGCACCGCTTTTTAAATGACAAAATGTGATATAGTAATGTTGATGGTTTTTAATTTTTGTGGTTTTCTTTTTCTTTTTTTCTTTTGACATTATACAAAATAAACAAATGAAATAAACAAAAAATTTAACCTTCCCACACCCACCCCTCTCTCTCTCTGCACACCTTGCTGCAGAATCGTTTCAACCAAAATTTTCTTAATCTGTGATTAAGGGTCTGCAAAAATATTGAAATATAGATATACTGTAACTTTTAATATGATGATATAGTAACGATATCATGAGCTGCTGTATCAATATATATATATTTTTGGTTCATTTTACTCAATTATTTTGTTACAGAGCTACAGTTTTGTTGCTTGTTCAGTGGAAGGAAACTCATTTATGCGATACATTTGACATTTTCACATGTTTCATATTCACTTTGCAGAAGAAGTGGTTTAACAAAGACTTTTAGTATCACAGCCATGATTTATTATTTCGATTTGAAATATATTGTATTGAACCAAAAGCTCACTGTATCCAGATGTGTCGTATCGTGGCCTATATATTAAGGGATGTATTGTATCGGCAACTTCTTCAATGGTACCCAGTCCTATCTGTGATACACGTGGGATTCAGCAGTGTTGCTTAACTTTGCAATTAATAGACTACAGCATCTCATATTGAAACATGTATCGCCTAGTAAGTGTGAATGGATGCAGACTTGTTAGATTTAAAAAAAAAAGTTTTAGTGCGTACTTTGTTAAGTGTTTAAGTGTTCAGTATAAGCATACACTATAATGGTGCTGTAAAAATGTAACTATATAAGCATAATGTAAATGAATGCGCATGAGTCATACAATACAACTTACCCAAGGCCTTCATAACCTCTTCAAAGTTCTCGTTTTTCACCATCTCCCAGCGTCCATTGTAATCGGCCGGCATTTTCACTGTTGTTGAAGGTTTAGACCCTGGAGGAGTTTGCCTTGAGGCCTGTTTGACTGAAAGAGAGAGGCAGATCCTGGGCCCATCCCTTTTTATTCCACTCTTCTAATCTGTGTGTGTGTGTGTGCGTGCATGTGTGTGCGCGTGTGCACCGAGCAAAGGACAGGGTACGACCATGTTTTAAAGTTCAGTCGGCTGTTTGCACAACCCCTGATGTCAACGCATACACTTCTCTGTGCAAAAGTTTAGGCGAGGCGAGGAAAATGCCAGGAGTGCTTTGAGAAATACAGACGATATTTGAGATTTAATTGTCTGCATTTTTAGAAGCCTTGTATGTGATTTTTTTTTTTTTTTCCCCATGCATTTGAACAAACTTGCCTTGCCTCAGGAAAAATATATTGCAGTTCTTACAATATGTACATGTCTGTATGTAACCATAAAGCATTTTATTGTCTGATAATCAGGATGGGGGGGGGTCTACCACCTGCTTGTCTCCATGAAAATATGGAAATATTATTGCTTTGCCTAGAATATTCCACAGTGTCTATTAAACAAACAACCCTGTTACAGCACTATGCTACATTACAATTCATATCTGTGGAATGGTGCCTCTATTCACAGAAGGAATGATTATATTTTTGAGCAATAGAAACACACTTAGTAAATAAATGCTAGATGGATATGTTTAAAGTCATCCCATGGAACATTCCAAACAATAGAGCTGGGTATCATTAAGAAGTTGCTAATACGATACATATCTCGATACTGTGCACTTTCGATTCAGTGTGATTCGATACGATATATTTCAAATCGATTCAGTGTAAAATAAAGGCTAAATTACGGCTATGATATTAAAGTCTCTAAGTCCATTAAGTTTGTGCAAAGTTAATATGAAATACACCCATTTTACTCAAAACTGTGAAAATGTCAACACAACTGTAGCTCTTACACAAAATAATTTAGGAAAATATACCTAAAAATACTCTTGGTGATATATATCGATACAGCAGCTCACGATATCGATAGTGTATCATCAAATTAAACAATACGATACATCGATATTTCAATATTTTTGCACACCTCTACCAAGCAAAGCAATAATATTTCCATGGAGACAAGCAGGCAGCGAACCCCCCACCAGAAAAGTTGCCACTGCAAGAGGCCAGAATGGAGACTTAGTGTGACCTGAAGAGCTGCTCGTATGTCTGTACTGGGGCAGGACACATTTTGCTTAAATACATGGAGGAAAAAAAAGAGGTTCAGGCTCTTTTAATGAAAGTGAGTTTAAATGAAAATGACTACTTCCTCCTTTCTACACCTCGTCTCTCTGTCTTGTGTCTTGAAGCAAAGATTAAGGCTAAAAGCTGCTTATACGAACCACCTGCGCGAGTCCATTTCTCATTTTCAAAGGAAGAATCTCTTAGAGGATTACAGCACTCAGCACTTTTTATGGACTGAAATGGGAGACTTTTGGAGATAAAGTTTCCTCGCTAAGAGAAGAAGCTATTTAGGATGACAGGTGCACTTCAATCACTGAAAGAGGCACAGTCAGCAACAACAAACTGGGAATATTAATACAAAAATATGTGCATCATTACACAGATATAGAAAGCACACAAGTAAATACGCTCCTTAATGTATTTTCAGAGGTGCGTGGTGTTGAGACGCATTTGCTTGAGTAACTTTTTCATAAAATTTGTACTTCTCGGAGTAGTTTTCAAACAATTCAGATGATAGTTTTCAATGTATATATGATTGTGTAAAAGTACTGTTTCTTAAGTAAAAGTTTTGGTAACTCTTTCCAAACTTCTGTGTCTTGCACCTCTCCTTGTAGATCAGGAATAGGATTATAGGTATCGAAGTATCAATATGTCGATACTGACTCAGTACGATATTGTTATGCAAATCTTGGTACAGAAAAAAATCCTGCTTAATGTCAGATTTTTATTGTGACAAAAAAAAAGTCCTTCTTCAGATGTAGTTTTTGATGATATAGTTTTTTATATTTTGGGCATTATTTATTCTTACTTGACCACTACTGGACCACTACTTTATACTTCTACTCGAGTAAAAGTATTTATAAGTCACTTTTTTGTTGTTTCATTTGAATATAATTAGCTGCAGACAGGGGACTTGGTTTGGTTCTTGTTGTCTTTTTCTCCATAGATCGTAGGCTACAGTTGACTCTGTCTGAAAAAGATTTATCTGCAGGGACATCTCCAGGTGTCAGACAGGATCAATAGCACACTTGATCTGAGCGAGAAACTCAAGTGTGTTTAAAGATGCCACTGTTAAGATATTGATTCACATTTGGAGAGGAAAATGTCACTTTGTTCTACATTTAATTGATTCAGGAAAGGAGGAAGTAACACTCAGATTGGTGCTTGTGGCTCCTGTCTCTGCTAATTGATACTCTGCAGTGTCATCGCGCTAGGGGTGTTCTACGTGTATGTGTCTGGTTAGGGTGACCAGATTTTCAACATTCAAAACTGGGACGCACTCTGGTTGGGATGGTTGGTATAAAGAAAATTGTGAAAATTGTGCATTCTCGGGTCAGTCATAATCTGAGGTAGCCTGATTCATCAGTTGGTTTCACTTCGTAGAAACCGTCTGACCTCGCAGAGTTAGAATTTGTTTGCCCAACGGTAGACGGGTATTTTTTTTAATTTAACCAATCGCTGCTATTTGGTCGTGACGTATGTAATGCGCTGCTAACGGGGCTAATTGGTATATTTAGCTTTTCCTAAATCCCGTAGGAAGAAGGGCAATAACGTCTTTCGCCATTGATAAAATTCACCAAATATTATCTTTGTTCCGGCTTTAAATCCTCGATCTCGGGAACCGTTGCCAACACAGAATGTATGGCTCTTCGCTGATTGACTGGTACCCAATCTAGCACTTCCTTTTGCGAACCGTGTAGTGTATTCTGATTCCTGACCTAGTCGCTGGAGAGATATTAAATTGAGTGGAGGCACTAGGTGGCGCCAGCCTGGCTAAAACTGAGGGACTTCTGTCACTTAATTTTTTGGTTTTCTATATTTTGGCTAAACAAATGACAATTTATGCTCCTCTTTACTGTTGGCGGGGATCAGATTAGTCAAAAATTGTGATAGTCCTGTTTTAATCCTGGTTTAGAGTTGATGTAGTCCTGGTTTTAATTAGTTTAGTCCTGGTTTTGACCTAGTTTAGATCGGTCAAAAGTAGGGACACTTGGGACATTTCTTGTATAACCCTGCATTCTATTCAATGTTGGTAGTTGATTAAATTAAAAAAAGTCAAAGTCAGTAAAAGTCAGTTCTCCCGACATCATGTAAATTTGTTTCATTGCAACAGTTAGGGAAAATATGGATACCAGAGAAAGTTTAATGTCCAAACGACTCAGTCTGCACTGAACTAGCCCAATTTTGTGTTTCATAACCTGATTTGATTGGCCGTTCCATTCCACTTTCTCGAGATGGAAATCTGTTTTCCCTGAGTCCCAAGCACAATAGAATGTGGCATAAAACTGGGACAAATCACTCGTTTTTATAAATCTGATGGGACAGGGGACACAGGGCTGAAACTGGGACGGTCCTGGGTACATAGCAATGTCTGGTCACCCTATGTAGTACCATGGTGACACAATGCTTACGTACATAGCAAACACTTTCAAAATGATTTAAGTTTGAAAGCTCAATCTGTGACCAGTACGAGCGTGCATGGTTTTGTTTAGGTGTTTAATTTTCAGCAAAAAGGTGTGAGTGACTGAAAAACTGTCAGCTAATGCCACCTAGCTTGTGACTGGAATTTTAGGTGTGAGATTTGTTATACAGCAAAAATCACCTCACCTGTTACAGTTCACACTAACTCATCTCTTTATTGTTGGACTATGTCAAAATCTGAATGACATCAGCTGCAAATTATACAATACTGTGACTAAAACAACTGCATTAATAACCTACAACTGTCATAAATAGTGATAAGGAAAAATTTTATAGGCATGAGATTCACAAGCACTGTCCTGTACTCAAAACTGCTCCACACAGATTTTCATTCTCACTTCAGACATGGTGGTGGTTTTCTTCTATAGCCACAGCTGCCCTGGGGCTGAGTGACAGAGATTTGACTGCCATTTATTTAATTCATGCATAAACCGTGGCCACACAGGTTCAGTAAGCTATAGGCAAGGACAACATTTCAGCTGGCTGCTACGACTAATGAAAAAGTGAAAAAGTGATTGCAATATTTCTTAACAAGCATTGCAGTTGCGAGTAGATTTGCAATGTTTGTTTTTTGTAGAAAGAATAAGTTCAAAGTTCAGATTTTTAGCACATCCACTAGAATTAATATTTGAGAAAAGATTGCACCGCTTAACTTATCAAAGAATCACGAGAATTTCAGAACGTGTGTATACAGTAGGTCGACACTATAACAATTTTAATACAAGGCATTAATGGAGTTTGCACAGGAAATATTACAAAATAAATTATTATAAAATAGTCTAAAGGATTTGCCATTTACGAATAGAGACCAGCGGATATGTCGTTTTTCATGGTCGATGCCGATACTAATTGTTTAGAATGCAGAGGGACTGATGACCGATAACCACTGTCGATATTTTTACTACAAACTGTGTAGAGTCCAGTATACTCACATTTTTGCAGTACCCTTTTTGGACAGAAATGTTCAAACAAAACTTTATCCATATATTTTTCATTCATATGCAGGCAGCTGGTTCGAAAACAAAATTTCGGCTTCTGCTAGAGATTTATAGCCGATATCCAATACGCTTAAAAGGGCAAATATCGGCCTGATATATCTGTAGGGCTGGGTATCATTCAGAATTTGCCGATACGATACATACCTTGGTAAATAAGGCATGATACAATTCAGTACGATATTTCAGATCGATTTGATACGATTCAATATAAAATAAAGCCTAACTCATTGCTGTATTTGTTAAACTTTGTAAAACTTGTGCAAAGTCAATATGAAACACACCCATTTTAATCATCAAAACAGTGAAAAGGTCAAATGAGTTGCATAAAAAAACTTGTAGCGCTGTGAAATATGTCAAAAAAGACTATATATTGATACAGCAGCCCACG